ATACCCCTGAATAACAGGATAAAAAAATTAATAAAAAATCCAACTGCATGTATAAAAGACCTCTACCAATATAGGTAAAAAAGAATATATCAGATGATTCACAATTCTTTTTATTAATGGAATTTCTAATAAGTTTTGCAAATGGTATGTGTTATAGGGCTGCTCATTATAGTATTAATAAATTAAACAAATTCATTAGGGGGTTCACAAGGATCCTTTGCCGAAATTTGCCAAAAGGAATGTGGTTTATCGGATTGAATATCGTGATTGCGATGCTACCTACGTAGGACAAACGGGAAGAAAACTAAAAACAAGATTAGTAGAACATCGCAATCATATACGTAGAGTTACATCCATTCGTTCGGTTATCACAGATCATAGGGTGAATTGCAATCATGACTTTGATTGGGATAATGTGAGAATTCTGGATTCTGAGAGAAATTATAATAAGCGAATAATGTTGGAGATGCTCTATATAAATCGTCTTAACCAGTGGTCTTAACATACAAACCGACACTGAGGCATTAAATCATGGATACATAGAAATTCTCAATAAGTTAAAATATGTTTATGTTTATTTTTATTTTTATTATTGACCGATATGCTTTGTTCGCGCGGCACATCTCTTTTTGTATTCAACGGGTATTATATGACTAACTATCAGAACGAACATGACTCTCTTTTTTATGTTACTTAAATTATTTTTCAATCTAACTTTGACTTCGTGATTTTTAAATTTGTTGTAATGGATCGACGATGCTTGGATCCGCATGCGATCGTTGTTGGAGATGGGGTGAATGTCTGGCTAGCATATATTAATTTTGTCAAATTAATATCTATCTATAAAAAATATTTCGTTGCAATTATTAGCTTGAGTTCCTTGATCTATCTGCTCCACTCAGCTAAGCAACTGGTTGACACAACATTAGACTATTAGCGTATTCGATTTACTGACTCGACCCGACTCCAAATCAACAGTCTGTTCTTTTTAGCTGCATTTCTTGTATAATTTAGCTCTTCTTTTGCAGCTAAACAGAACAGACCATTGACTCGGAGTCGGGTCGAGTCAGTAAATCGAATACGCTATATGTTGAAGATTGTTTCTCACCACATTTCCACTGCGACTGCATTATTGGAGATCGGAACTACTGCGAGACGCAGTTCGACAGATATTATAATGTAATAACCGGTAATTTTTTATTGCTGAGGATGGCTCAAATAATGAGCCGAAACGTACAAAATTGAATTTGTGACATATCAATAGGTGTTAGTTAACATAGCGTAATATAATATCCAGCGTTGACTCCTAATGCCCATTTGTATTTTGCCATCATTTTTTCATTGTATTAATTTAAGGAGTCTATAAATTTTGTTTATTTCTTTACTTAAATTTGCATATGATTTAATTTAACAAGTAGACTGTTAATCCAATTTTGGCAAAATTGTTCATAGCAAAATTTATAATAGCTGTTTCTCATTTTAATGTTTCTATTTGGAATTTTTTTCTGCGTTTCTCAATCAGCAGACAATATTTTTGAAATGTTTTTTAAACGTTTATTTCTTATTAATTTTACATTTTTTACGATTTGTTTTCAAAATTCATTAATTTAACATTTATTTAATGTTCATTATACATTATTTTACATTATAATTTTTTGTTTGAAATAAATAATTGAAAAAACATTACATTGTTTAAACGTTTATTTAACGTTTATTTAATGTTTATTTTGAATTTATTTTTTATTTGAAATAATAGTTTAAAAAACATTTTATAACCGTTTATCTAATGTTTCTTAAATGTTTATTTAACATTAATTATTCATTTGAAATAATGGTTTGAAAACATTTTTTAAACATTTATTTAATGTTTATTAAATGTTTATTTTATATTAATTATTCATTTGAAATAAAGGTTAAAATAATATTTTTTAAATGTTTATTTAACGTTTATAAAATGTTTATTTTACATTATTTATTCATTTAAAATGTGGTGATAAGAAACATTTATTTAACATTTAGTAAATGTTTATTTCACATTAATTACTTCTTTGAAATAATTGTTTAAAGAAACATTTATTTAAAGTTTATTAAATCTTTTTTAAATGTTTATATGACGTTTAATAAATGTTTGTTTTTTGTTATTTACTTATTTAAAATATGATTAAAAAATATTTATTTAACATTTATTTGACGTTTATTATAAAGAATCCACGGCAGTGTCGCTGCGCTTGGCTTAGCGCCGAGACACTACCAGTGTCTCCAGATATGTAAAAAATATTATTTTCTAATAATTCTCAAATTAATAACAAACAGGTCGGAATAATAAAATAATCACGGAAGAGAAGTTAACACAATATAATTGCATTAAGTGTACCATATATGGCCAATAAGAACTATGTGCATCGATTATAGTTATAAGTGGCGTGACGGATAAGATACGAGACTCGGCCGGTAAGTAAAAAAGATTAAAATATAATTAAAAATTAGAAATTAATTAATAAAATTATTCGTCTAAAAGAGGTTTTTAGGCATTGTTGATAAAAAAAAAATAAATTAAAAAAAGATTCTAGATTGTTATTTTTCCTAATTTTGTTTAAATAATTTTAATGTTAAAGAAATGTTTTTTTCAAACGTTAAATAAAGCGTTTCTTAAACGTTAAAAAAAATATTTATTCGAACATTACAATAAACGTTTTTTTAATAAAAAAATGGGGGCTTAACGCATTAATTTTAACATTTTTAAAAATGTTTTTAAAATGTTTTTTAAATATTTTTAAAAACATTTTTAGAAACATTGTCTGCTGATTGAGTTAAGGAATAGAAGATTAAATGTATCTATATAATATAAAATACTGCCAATATATTGCTAGACAAGTTATAATTGCTGATTGAGATATGATCGAAATTAGATAACAGAAAATTAGTATTTATAACGTTTTCTAATTATCTAACTTGATAGAAATCTTAGTAGTAATTTATATTCCTCTCTCTGTTGATAAAGAGTTAAACGTATTATTATGTTTGCTGCTATTTTATTTAGATGGCGCTGGAAAATTTTATTACGTACGTTATCTCCGTAAGAGTTATTTTTATCATACGCATTCAATAAAGCTTAAATTAGTATCGCTTGGAATATTTTACGACGATCTTTAAATAGATTAGCAGTGTTTCACAATCCTTGCCAAATGGTTTTTTTTAACTGAGTTGAATCTATCAAACGCCCGTCGAATAATAATGCAAAAATAAAAAGTATTTAAAAATATAAATTTAATTAACTTAATTTAATATATTTTATTCGTTTCATTTTCAGATGCAACATATATTTAATATGATTTAAAGTGGTATTATTTATCGTAGCAGTCTTAAAATTCTCTTTGTAATAACAAAAAAGCCGAACTAATTTTGATAAATATTATATAGTGTGTCTTGTATACACAGAATTTAGGCGTCTTTTCTTAACGATAGTGTCGTTGCATTATCGTCAAAAATGATAGAATAGGAGCCTTTTAGTTCTATTCTCGAGACAAAAATTGATATATCAAAATAAAAACATCGGAGAAGCAAAACGGACATTTTGGAGGAATAACGAGACTATCCTTGTTTGAAATGGTCTGACAAATCTCTTCTAGAATGTTGAGAATATTCTTTAAATGCGTTAGAACGATGGTACTCCAAAAAAAAGCGCGAATAATCGCGAACTATGCATATGATGCAATCAACGCTGCGTTTCGTTATTCATTGCAATTATTGAAAATCTATATAGTATACGTAACGTAACGTAAATTACAGTGGTTTGTTTGCGTTGCTTAAAATCATAGTTGGGCAAAACTGTAATTCAATTAATAATTACAAATTGTAATGTAATTCTTAATTCAATTATATTTCGTAATTATTAATTGAATTATATTTTGTAATTATTAATTGAATTAAGAATTACATTGCAATTTGTAATTGTTAATTGAATTACAGTTTTGCTCAACTCTACTTAAAATATAAAAAATGTTTACACCTAAAATGAAATAAATATTGGGTTAAGGAGAGTAAAAGTCCCTTTACAAGTTAGTAAAAAGACCTTTTCCCATCAATATCTTCGTTAAAAATGATCAAAATTTAAATTTAAAAAAAGTGTTTTAAAGCTTGAAATCTCTACCTTCGAATGATTGCTATATTTTTTGAATTTATGTAAGTTTTGTAATTTTTACATATAGAAAACTACGAGCTGAAAAAAATGAAAAATTTTCTTTTCACTTCGTAGATCTGTAGTGTGCTAAAAAAAAAGTTAAGCAAATTTTCGACTATCTATCATAAAAGCTTGAAGTTTTTCCTATACAATCGTTTTTTAAAAATGTTCTCACGATTTTTCATTCCTGAGTTGTATACTCGCGAATTACGTAAAAAGGAACATTTTGACTTTATTGCTCGTAACTCCGTTAAAAATTATTGTATTGCAATTAAAAATACAGATTCTTAAAGTTAAAACGTTGCTCTATCAAATGGTGTAAATGTCAATTCTTTAAAACTAAAATATATAAGTTGATAAGTATTTTTATCAACTTGTAAAGAGACTTTTTCTCTAACCCAATATATACCATATATGGTATATTCAGGTATTGAAGAGAGATAAAGCGCAGATGTTAAGTGCAAAAAGTGCAAAAGTTGCAACGCAAACAGATCTTAGATTTTCAGTACTCGCAATAAATAACAGAATGCAGTCCAAGTATATTTTGCAAAAATATAAATTTGTATTTTATTGATAAGCCGCAATATCTCGTGGTGACGAAACGCGATTCGCACGAAGCTAATTTTAGTCGTGAATCTTCTTAGCGACATTTCCAGTTCTTAGCGATTTTCCTACGTTCTCTTTACTTCTATCTCTCTTCCACTCACGTAGCGCGCGCGCGCGCGCCAATGGAAGCTTCTCGAATGATCTCGAGGACTCGCGCCGTGATTGGTCATCTGCAGAAGCTTCTCGAAGCGGGCGATTCAGAGTATTAAAAGCGCGTTGCGCGGCTCGCGTCATCAGTTTCGCAACGAACGCGACGCAGTAAGTGCGATAAGTGGCACGAAGTGTCGACTTGCAAATCAAATCATCGAAGTCTTAAAAACGCTATTGTTAGGTGAGTGTTGAAATAGTGTTATTTGATTGTGAGGTAATTGTGCGTCGATTGTTTCTCAAAAATTCATCACATATATATATATATATAATCAGTAATTTCTGCTGGAATTATAGAAACAGAATATACATTTTTGGACAGTTTTCTCCGATATTGTTTCTGTTTCTTATTTGTAAAAATGTAAATTCGCAATTTTGTTACGCAAAAAATCGAAATTGTGTGACTCGGGTGCAATTAATAATTGTGGAAAAAAGAAAATTGTCTCCGAGTGACGACTTTTAATTGGCTGATATTCATATAGTCGGTTCTTATTTCAAGGACATTTTAAGTAATGTCTTAAGATGCTAATACGGCTTTGTAATTAACTTATGACATCTTAAGATTGTACTTAAAACGATCTTAAATATATAAGAACAGACTATTATAAGAATACCGGTCGCGATATCCGAGACGTCGTGACTTCCAGAAAAAATTATGATGCAATAATCAAGTGCCAATAAGGAACAAATTACCTCAGGAGAGTTTTAAGTTCACTTTATCTTCTCATGGTTCATTACGAAACACGCCGCGCAACACGATACGTGTTTTCGCAAAAGCGTTTTGGCAATCAATATTAAAGAAATTCGACAGGCGTAATGTAATACAATATATAACATTTATTGCGTCGTTATTTTGGAGCACAGTTTGGGATTCGCTCGAGTTCGAGCAACTTCGATCGCTCGAGGCTAATCAAAGTTTTTTTTTTATTGCAACGCTCATACAATACAATATATATCACGTTGTTACATTTCAGTGATTACCGTCGAAATAGTTAAAGAGAAGAGAGACTAACGATGTCGAAAGCACCGGCAGTTGGAATCGACCTGGGCACCACGTATTCGTGCGTGGGTGTCTTCCAGCATGGAAAGGTTGAGATCATCGCCAATGACCAGGGTAACCGGACCACACCAAGCTATGTAGCCTTCACCGACACCGAGAGGCTGATCGGCGATGCGGCGAAGAATCAGGTTGCTATGAATCCTAGCAATACCATCTTCGGTAAGTCTGAGTTTTTTTACGTCTAAGATGTTTTTCACCGCTTTTGCGTCGCAGTTACGTTAGAAGGTGACCTGATAAGGCCGTTGGATGCTTTATCTGTTGCGCCGTGTTTTTGTTGATTTCGACTTTCGGAATTAGTTTAATATTTAACTGTGGAATTGTTTCAGTCTTAAATTGATTATCCTTTATTATTGATTGCAAAATACATTGTATGAATTGTCTCAATATTAAGTTGAGTTATTATTCTTCGTTATCGATCGTAAGAATTATATATTGATTGAATTTTTTTACGTAGATTTTTTGAAATGTGAAATTTTTGTTTAAATTTTTGAAAAGCTGTTGCTATAATATGAGAGAATATTTAATTGATCAGTAGCGATTTCAATTTTTTATCGCATTACATACTTTAATATTTAATTCGTGCAATTGTTTTAAAATTTATTAGTCTTCATCGTCACCACTAATTGCAGGACATATTGGTTGAATTTCTTCGTGGATTCCTTGAAATGTTTAATTTTAAAAGTTGATGCTGAAATATTTACAAGCAACTTGGCAAGATATGTAGCAATATTTTGCGGTTTCGAGGCGAATTTATGAAACCGTAAAAACCTTATATTGATTTCTTTTTTTTAAAGACGAATTGTACGTCATTTCTAAATTATTCGACCTCGATTATTCGATCGATAGAACACGAAACTTTCCGTGCTCGGGAGTTAACTTATCTCAATCGTGTTTTACTGCAGTTTTACTTGCAGTGACCTTGCATGACGCGCATGTCCTCTATGTATTCGTTCGTAATGTACGCAATGTTCCTCCTTCCTCCGACCATTTATCCTTAACATTGTAGCCGAGCGTTCTGACGTTTACCTATATATTGTTTTATATAATCCTAATTTGTGTGCCAGCTATCAATGTCATCCAGATTTTACGTTGAACCGTAAATCATAATGACTCACGCGACTTGTTCGTTGCTTTCAATCTCAGTTGCTTATTTAATACTTTATGCAATGAATAAACATATATCTATACAAACATTAACGCACAATTAACAATACAGATATTCTTGTGTATATAATTATATATATATATAGATATATAACAATTTAAAAAATATTAAATTAAAATACATAAAAATAAAAAAGTATATAAAAAGATATATATATTTTTAAATAAATTTATTATAATATATATTTTTTAAATATATATATATAATAGATATATAACGTAAGTTTTCATACTATACATGTAAATATTCATTTATATTTTATACATTATAACGCGTGCGATAATTATTTTACGAATTTCTTTGAATCTATTTTCACGATTATAATAAAATTTACGGTAGATTATATTTCATGATTTTTTTTACATGAAATTGTCTTCGTACACTCTGTTTTTCGGCTTGGCGACAATTTGCAACCATTCCTTTATAATCTAACACAATTCGCAGGATCCTCTTCTTCATTTCATCGCATTATGCTTCTAAAAAATAATTTTTGAAGGAACAGACAACTTACGAATCTCTTATCGTTTTTCTTTAAAGATGCAAAGCGTTTGATCGGTCGTCGTTTCGATGATGCGACGGTGCAGAGCGACATGAAGCACTGGCCGTTCACGGTGGTCAACGATGGCGGCAAACCAAAGATCGAAGTGTCTTACAAGGGTGAAATGAAGACTTTCTTTCCCGAGGAGGTGTCCTCTATGGTCTTGACGAAGATGAAGGAGACGGCGGAGGCGTACCTGGGCAAGACTATAACAAATGCCGTCATCACTGTGCCGGCTTATTTCAATGACTCTCAGAGACAAGCGACAAAGGATGCCGGCGCTATTGCTGGCTTGAACGTTCTCAGAATAATAAACGAGCCCACAGCCGCCGCGATAGCATATGGTCTCGATAAAAAGGCTGCAGGTGAAAAGAACGTTCTGATCTTTGACTTAGGTGGTGGTACCTTTGACGTGTCGATTCTGACGATCGAGGATGGTATCTTCGAGGTAAAATCCACGGCTGGCGACACGCATCTCGGTGGCGAGGACTTTGATAACCGAATGGTGAACCACTTTGTGCAAGAATTCAAGAGGAAATACAAGAAAGATCTGAGCAGTAACAAGAGAGCTCTGAGACGCTTAAGGACTGCTTGCGAGAGAGCGAAGAGAACGTTGAGCTCGTCGACGCAGGCGAGCATTGAGATCGATTCATTGTTTGAGGGGATTGACTTCTATACGTCGGTCACTAGAGCCAGGTTCGAGGAACTTTGCGCTGATCTGTTTAGAAGCACTCTCGAACCCGTGGAGAAGGCTCTTAGAGATGCGAAGATGGATAAAGCTCAAGTTCACAGCATCGTTCTAGTTGGTGGCTCCACCAGGATACCAAAAATTCAGAAGCTACTTCAAGATTTCTTTAACGGCAAGGAACTGAACAAATCCATTAATCCGGACGAGGCTGTTGCTTATGGTGCAGCAGTTCAGGCGGCCATTCTGCACGGCGACAAGTCCGAGGAAGTCCAAGATCTACTTCTGCTGGACGTGACTCCGTTATCATTGGGTATTGAGACCGCTGGCGGCGTTATGACCACCTTGATCAAGAGGAACACGACGATACCAACGAAACAGACCCAGACGTTCACCACATACTCTGACAATCAACCGGGAGTGCTCATCCAAGTCTACGAGGGAGAGAGAGCTATGACGAAAGATAATAACATCCTTGGCAAATTTGAGCTGACGGGTATTCCTCCAGCGCCTAGAGGTGTACCGCAAATCGAAGTCACTTTCGATATCGACGCCAACGGTAAGTTGCAATGTAGCAAACATTGATAACTTCAAGTCGAAGATATCATTGTTAGGTTAACTGTTATAATGTATTTTATATAACTTTTTCTATTTCTCATATTTCTATGTATTTCGTCTTGCAGGTATATTGAATGTCTCTGCGATCGAGAAATCTACGGGCAAGGAAAATAAGATCACGATTACCAACGATAAAGGTCGCTTGTCGAAAGAAGACATAGAAAGGATGGTGAATGAAGCCGAGAAGTACCGATCGGAGGACGAGCAGCAGCGGGAGAGGATTTCCGCCAAGAATGCTCTCGAGTCATATTGCTTCAACATGAAGAGCACGATGGAGGACGACAAAGTTAAAGATAAGATCGATGCGTCCGATAAGGAGAAAGTTCTTTCTAAATGCAACGAAGTCGTCTCCTGGTTGGATGCCAATCAATTGGCAGAGAAGGAAGAGTTCGTCGACAAGCAGAAGGAACTGGAAGCTTTATGCAATCCCATCGTCACAAAACTATACCAAAGTGGTGGAGTGCCTGGTGGGTTCCCTGGTGCTGGCGGAGCAGGAGCCAATCCTGGTGCCGGTGGCGCTGGACCAACCATTGAGGAAGTTGATTAAATGAAATCACGAACTCCTATTCTTCTTTTATTACAATTACACTAAATTTCGTATCATTTAATTTTGTTTCACATTCAACAACACTTTATCGTTGACTTAAGTTCAATACGCTCATTTCAGTTTACTCTTTGTAAAAATAAATTTTTTATTTTCTGAGATATTATGAGCTGTGTTAATGTGATTGTATTGTATTATATAGTGATAAGTTTGTTATAATAAATTAATTTATTAATATATTTAATATTAATTTTAAAAAACTATGGTGTTTTTTAATTTCTTACCGCAATAACGTTCCGCTTAGCGTTTTTCGTTGAATTGCGCGTCTGGATTTTCAGGTCGATAAAATTGAACGAGGATTATTAGATAAGTAGTAATTACTCCGACAAACTGTAAAATAAATAGAATATATAATAAGAAAGTAAATTTTCTTCATTTAATTCCTATTTATTAAAATTTAAAAGAAACTAGTTTTATATAAATTTTAACGAATTAAATTGTGTACTCACATTACTGAACAGAGCATTGTTCATTTCGAAGAAATCGCAGGCTGTAAATGCTATTCGATGCTGTTGCAGCTGAATCGAAAAATCATTGACCTCGTTCCTGACACAGTCTCGGTCCAGGTTTTTGTGTAAAATATTTTTCATAACAACGTAGTTCAGATTGTAACTGCTGCTCCGATTAGAATTTTGCTCGCCATCCGGTCCTTCCAATGGTGGTGGCACCTCTAGATTTGATTGATTCCTCGCACCGTTCAGCTTATCAAGATTCGTATGCTTGCAATTCAATACAATCGCGTATATACTTATCCCAATCTTGTCGGATTCTTTACGAGCGAGCGTACAAATCCAGCACATCAGCCCGAACTGCGTGGCGTACAGAATCCAAAGAATATTATTTATCACCATGAACGCATAATTCTTTTCCACGACACCCATGTAGATCCTAAATAGAGTAGCCACAACCATAGTGAAGCAATTCGCCGAACAGAGGAGGAGGTGAAAGCCGTGAATATCGTTCACCATGATAACGAGATCACAGATACCTACACAATACAACTTGGTCAACAAAGTCTTGAATCAATATAATTATCTTCATGGCCCGAAATCTCTTTTTAATTATCTTTTGTGCGCGTGCGCACGCACACACGCGCGCACGCACGCACGCACAAACAAAATCGAATTACAGTACAAAAAATAATTAAAAAGATATTTCTAGTCTCGTAAGATAAAAACCAACGGAAGTAAACAAAGCTCTTTGTACTAATCAAATTTTATACACATTAAATATATTGGAAAATTCATAAACAATGTTCTATGATCTATTACATAGCCACAGACGACGTTTCAACTTTTACTAAAGTTATCTTCAGTGTATTAAATAGACAAATTGTACGTTACAATAATAAATATCAACGCAAACACAAAATAATTGCACGCATTACAAAATTGAAATTGAATTCATGAAGAACCGGCTAAAGCTCTCATCAGTCCTTACTTACTTTCGTTGACAAAAGATAATATTTGAAAAGACTCACCGGTATGCAATTCTCTGATGCGTCTAATCTTGAGCGCGATCCACGGTGCACCGAATAACTGGTCCAGTTGGTCGATCAATTCATTTATCGATTGAAATCTACGATACAAAACATAGACGACAACATCAAAGACAAAACTGTTGATCAATGACTGGGCTATCGTGTAATAAAGCAGCAAGTCGGATGCAAAAATGTTTTCAGGACGTGTAAAATAGTAATACAGGGCGTGCACGATCAGGGACAAAGGGCCGCAAGTGAATATCGTGAGAATAGCTAGCGCTTCTACATTTTTTATAGGCCGATCATTCATGGGGATTTCCTTTCTGATCTTCTGGTCTATCTCCTTTATTCTGTCCATCAACTCCGGCCACTTGTCGTACTGTCTGATCCCATGATAAACATAATAATATGCCGATAAGTAACACATCACCTTGTTCATGTAGTATATGATCTTGAATATGTCACTTTTGAAGACACTACCGAAGGTGAAGAAATCTATCGCACCGTACGCTACGATAACGGAACACACAGCCAAGTGAACGACACGCAGCGTTATTGTGATGGCCTTGGGACACTTTCGCGGACGTGCAACGCCGACACCGAGGAGCCAGGAAGTGTATGATATTGGACGTAAAATGTGCTCTATTGAGGGGGAGTTGTATTCCACATGAATTTCTTCTTCCATTTTCGCCTTTTCTTGCTAGTATCTTCTTCCTAATTTCCAACGTTTCGCAATAAGCGAGTATAGTTGCAAATGATTACATTGAAGCTTCTTGCGATACAGAATATTTTGGAGAAAGAATAATAAAGTTTGTGTAGAAGCGAGACACATTGATAAGTGTCGTTCTCCCTGATGTTTCACGTAGAATAAAGAACGATATACCATATTACTTCTGTAACATTAATGAAGTTTAGATTGCGTGCCATTAACTGTCCTCCATGAGCGTAACGCGGTTTTAGTAAATTAAATGAATCTTTTTGGGCGAAGAGAGAGGAACGACGTATATTAACAATGCAAGAAGTTTTGTATTATGGAAAACTTGCGTTAATTTTTCGAACTTCTGCTCTTCTTCAGCAACGTTTTAACTTAAGAAGAAATAATCACACACATCTACATATGTGCTTATATCGAAAAACGAGCTTTATTTGGCCCAACGACTATATTACAATCTTATTATATATAAGTAAACATTTAAAACCGGGATCAAACGATAACATCGACTTTTGTAAATCAGGCGGCAAGTCGAGTATTGAATATCTCGGAGAAATGCGGGCTGTGTTATGTGATATAAGTTCATATATCTTCTCCTCCACTTCTTTCCTTAATGATAATAGATCATCGATCGACAGTTGTGACCGAGCCTAATAACCAGGTGCGATCGTTGTCGAACACAATACGTAAGGGCCTGAGTATAAAGACGACCGTAACTGAGTTGTGGAACGTGAGTCATAGGTGTAGACAAATACACAATGTTTTGGCGTAATTATGTATGCCATATCTACATATAGTTGCGCCAAAACATTGTGTGTTGACTTACGACTACGACTCACGTTTCATGATTCAGTTACGGCCGTCTTCGTGCTTAGGCCCTCAGATAATCTTACTTCTGTGTCACGTGTGTACGTGAATTTTATGTGTAAATATGTACGCCTATGCAGCGTTCACGCTATGCAGCGTTTAAGAATATTCTTCAACGCTTTTTATCTTCTTTTTCATTTATTATTTACTCGGGAAAAGGCAGCGTAAATTATCCGAACACGAGAATGTTGATATACGTTTTGCTATAATAATAGATTTACGCCTCTCTGATGCATCTCCGATTTTCCGTAAATCTTTAATTACGAACGTGTGATCACGTGTATATATGATATATACTCATAATACAAGTCATCATAATATCAAAATGATGTGAAAATAACTTTAAAATGATTACTACCAATATCACTTTTCAATTAATAACGATTCAACGATTTTAACATCATTTTGATGTTATTGTGACTTATTTATTGTTGTTCTGCTTGGGATAATGTTTCTTAATAATTTTATATTGTTATATTTTACACTTTATACAAGTGACCAAAGATTGCATTTGGAAGGCTCGTGATGTCGAAATGCATCGATTATGTTAACTTACGATTAATGTCAGCAAACAATTGTAGAATATGACGGTATAATATGAAATATGATGCAGAGTGGAGAAGATTTCGCAGTTTTCTCGAGTCGTCATTTGAATTTTTAGACATCGTGAAATATTTTAGAAATGAAATTTTTTTATTTGATCTAAAAGTATCTTATGTATTGTACGGAAATATGATCCCCCCCTCCCAACTAATTTAATCGATTTTCAAATAATAATTAACAAAATGGAAATTCACACACAATCGAAGTCTCGTTTCGTTTGTATGACGACTGATAGTGTTTAAACGAAAGGAGGTGATAGTGATTTAATTTCAACAAATTTTCTACAATATTTATATGCAATACCTACATATAGATATTTTGCTGCATTCGTCTAAAGGTATAAAAGACATCGCGCTGTGTACATATATATAATGAATGAACAAGTCATTAATTTTTCATGCCTAAAAACAAATCAACAGAATGTTTGCGTTGGGAAGATAAAACAAATCGCCTGATATTGCACGCCACTTCAATTAGCAAAGCGAAGTAACTGCAATAGCAACAATGCGGCGTAATTCTCGTGGCTTTTACAATTGTATTTTGTTAAGTCCGAACTAGAGATTATATTATCTTTGTATCATTTTACGGGATATTAGTATATTTAGCCTCGATTTCCACTCGAGATTGTCCCTTCAATAATTTTTCTACGTGTCGTTTTTCAATGAAAGATTTATGATACAACGATTTCGATCGAAATTGAATGGAATAATGCCTTAGAAGCTGCTGATATGTAATCACACTCTGATGAACAATTTCACAAGGTCGCTTATGAATTTGATTTAAAACAAACGATCGTATGACAATTATTTGTAATTGTGCAATAATTATTGAACAGATATATTGATATTGTCATCAAAATGAGAGACTCGATCGTAATTTTTACGTAATAATGCAATTTATCTTGATGAGAACTTGAATATTTCTTATTGTATGTACTCTGAATGAAGTACGATTATATTCATACGTATTATGAGAATTATCAAAAGAGAACTTCATTTTGTTATGCATTTTTTATAGTAATATTGTCAAGCGAATCAATGCTTTTATCATTATGGTTTCTGATATGTAATTATACGTATTTCGATATGATTACGTCATTATAAATTAAATTATTTTAACCGTATTAACTAGTTGGATTCTTGTTATGAATTACCCAGACAACACATAATATTTACAGAATATTTACAAAATATTTATAAGACTTATTTGAAATATTTTTTGTAAATATTTTTGTGGCCATAGATTGCACAGATCATAAACATTTATTGTAAATATTATGAAATATTCATTGTAAATGTAGTAGATGTCACGAAAGTACTTAATAAGACATCAGAATTCACGTAAAAAATAGTTGCTATAAATATTTATTTATATTCAACATAAATATTACATAAAATATTTAGTCTATATTTTGAATAATATTTTGAATAAAGCTTTATATAAATTATGTCTAAAATATCTATATAACATTTAAAAAAATGAATAGTAATATTTATTATAAATATTCTGTGCTGTCTGGGTATTGATATTCTGATTTATTTCTGACACAGTTAATCTCTAAATGCAGTCTCTTTGCTGATAATGAACTTTATAAAATCATATATTCTTATAATTAAAAATTTTTTGATACCAAACAAATTCATTTATTTAGCGAATGTATATAGTTTCTCAGTTCAATTACTTCAAAGCATTGAAACGCTCTTTTCTCAGTTTATTTTGGAATATCTTGTCATCAACTTTGAATCCTTACACATTAAGCGTAAATTTTTTCTCTCCAACTTACACATAGATGTTAAGTTCTTTCAATATTTTTGCTTGTACCTATTGTCCAAATTTCCGTTATTCTACCATTGCTCTGATTGTGTCGTTAAACCCTGCTTTTTTCCAAGCATTCATAAATTCTTATCAGTTTAAGTACCAAGTAAAAATATGTCGCCACCTTCTAATTCATTAAGTACACTTGTGCCCAAGTATATACATACATTCATTCAGAAAGTGCCCCTTGTATCTGAATTAATACTTCGTCCGTATTATAAAGTCAGCATCAATTTTCAATATCTATGTTCCAAACTATATAAAAGCAAAAAAAGATGAATTAAAAATTCTGTAATTATGCATTAAATTAAATTAAGTTGGATCAAATACATAATATATATTAACTTATTATTCTGAACTCGTCCATCTGGAGACACTGGTAGTGTCTCGGTGCTAAGCCAAGCGCAGCGACACTGCCGTGGCTATTTTACGCGAATCTGTTATAATATACTTCATCTGAAGGACGTCTTGGGAATGTCCTTAGGATGTCAGACATCCGGTGGACGTCTCTAGAACATCCTTTGAAAATTTATGCTGTGGGTGAGCTTAAAAATCGTAATATTTTAAATTAAAAAAGTAAATGTATAATTTTTAATTCGCACTTAAATTTTTCAAAATAAATTAAAAATTTAATAGAGATAGAGAGAGAGAGAAAGAGAGAGAGAGAGAGAAAGAGAGTTATAAAATTACAAATCGCGATTCTTTGTATAATTGTTGTAAGAAAGACATTTTTCACGTGAATGGCTTTTTTAATGTCGTTTGTCATAAGCTGACTTTTTTTAACGTGGGCAAAATACGGATTTAACTTATTCGCAGTATTTGTGCTTTTATCTCTATTGATATAGAGTTTTGTATTTTATCGCAAGTGTGTTTCTACGTGTTTTACGTACGCGTTTCCATCTTGATGCCGTTGACGATTGATTCTTGCAAATACAATAAAAAGATCGTTAATAAATTGAGAATCCATCGACTTCGTCGTGTAACATCGTTATACTTGACGAAGACTACACTTGAAAAATGTCATCGGAAGCCCGTGGTGCAACGCTTGTGCCGAAAATGGTCGCTGGCGTTGTCATAGGCGCGATCTCGCCCATTCGGGTTGTGTTTACGTTGGAAGTGGTTATCGCCGTTGTTAATGTCGTCGTCATCATCGTCATAGTCGTCGTTGGGATGGTGTCTGATACGTCTGATGTCGTCGGTACCTGCTGCAAATGTAATCAATCCTTGTCTAAAACTCGGTATATACGGCAATTATAATTTAATTTTCTAGTCTGCTTTACATTAATTATCAAGTACCTATGTTTAATGCAACATACTTTTCAAGGATATTTTGTAGGTAATGATAAATCCTTTACAGAATTCTAATACTAGCTAATTTAATACTGAAAGACAATAATTAATTACTTATTTTAAGTATTAAAAACATTGTTGTTTAAAGCTTTTAATGCTCCAAACAAACCTTCTTTCTGTAATAAATTAGCCACTAACCAGTATTAGATTTCTGTAGGGGATTGTAATAATATATTTTGATAATAATATAAACGATTTATTAGGACCGTATAATATGAACAATAACTAAAAAATAATGCCTATAATACGTTTTAAATTTAATAGCAGAAAATAGTGCCGCAATGGTTATCGGATACATTGGCATTCAAGTTTTAAATCTGAGTTTCGCAATAATGAAGCCTTCCGAGCTACTTTTCAATGTTAAATTATCACTGATGAAGATGGCCAACGATAGATACCGAACCTCAAGAGATATCGATCGGAAATGACTTACCTCGTTGTAGAAAACTTCCTTCCCTTCTTCGACTGAAGGCAACAATTCGTCTGTGGAATGGGGAGTCCTAGGACTAGGCGTCGGTACCACCTGTTGCTGCTGTGTTTGCTCTCGTTGCTTAGCCAGCCGGAGTTCCTGAAGCGCCTGGCGTTGCTCCTTATCGTTCCTCTCCTTCTCGAGTCGACGTGTGCTGTAGCTACGGGATGAGGACGTCGAACTATGAACCGACGCTAAGCTAGGACGGCGGGAACCTATGCGAAAAAAAGAACTACGTCGTAGGGATATCAGCGTATCCTCTAATAGTTCTACTTTCTATGCTATGAGAAATACAATATAATGTTGAAAAAGGAAGTAAAAGAATCTATATATTACGTATACTATATAATCTCTAATCTGAGCTATCTAAGATTGTAATTTCTAACAATAAGTGCGAAACTGTAATATATATTCTTGCGGTACCTTTAACGCGATAAATATTCGATGAAGCGGTGAGAATGGAAACTTGCGAAGAGAGAAAGAAATGTCGTGCTACAAATTGAATAAACGGAACGTGAATGAGCATACGAGAACAGGAGTAAAAATAACAGCGCATTATTAAGAAAGTAAACAATAACAGTAAAGATACAATAACAAAAGTAAATTAATTATTAAAAATATATATCTATTCCTGGTATTTTTTGAGTAAGAGAACTTAGATACATGCTAATTATCTTATTTAAAAAACGCTAGTCTACAAAGTGTGCTGTAATTGCATATTTTACAACGTAATTCTATATGTAATATATAATTCTGTGCGTATAATGTAATATATATTCTGTAAAATGATAATTCGTGCATGTTGAAATTAAATACAAGAAAGTTAAACCGTATTTATAATCAGGGAATAGAAAGTGATTTTTTAAAAGTAACAAGTTACAGTTACTCGTTTCTGAGTAGAAAAAGTAACAAGTTACCATTACTATTAGGTACCAGTTTTTAAAAGTAACTCGTTACCGTTACTTGAGAAAGTAACTTTTCGTCACTTTTCCGTTACTTTTTTAAAATTGACCACACCAATGGGTGGCATCCAATTGGACACGGCTCAATTGGACACGAGCCACTCACAACGCTTGAGACTACAAAGCTCCTAAGCACCGGTCGCTGTGATTGGTGGTGTCCAATCGAGCCGTGATCAATCGGGATCACCCCCCACCAATAACAGCAAACGGGTGCCTCAGGACTTTCTAGTCTCAAGCGTTATGAAGTGACTTGTGTCCAATTAAACCGTGTACAATCGTGTGCAAAGGAACGATAAAAGTAACTGTAAAATTTATTACCGTTACCAAAAAAATGTAACTACGTTACCGTTACAGTTACAAAAAAAAAGTAACGCAGTTACCAGTAAAGTTACCAAAAAAGTAACTTGTAACTGTAACTTCAACAAGTAACGAATTACTTCCATTTCCTATTTATAATATAGACTTAAACATGCTTGATTGAAAAATAGCAAATGAAAATTGGAGTAACTAATGAAATAATAAAAAGAAATATTACAAAAAAAACTTTATATGTTGTGTGTGTATGTGCTATTATATTTTACTGAAATTAAAAAAATACGTAAGTTTGATTGATAGCGGTACTGAAACGCTTGTAAGTATGTGACACGTATGAAATGATTGCAAAGTCTTTACCGAGATGCGTTTTACGATAATATATACATATACATATACTTGAAAAGCAAGTTTTTAAGAAATACTTATGTTGGCAAAGCGAGCTATTATAAAAAATATTGTAAATATTATTTTGGCGTATAGGGATTCAGTTTTCCGGTGAGAAAATTAAAAATATTTATTGACTGAACTGAACATTTGCTCTTTTACTATCGTTAATTTTATAAAACATATTTCAGCTTTATGGGGCTATAACATCTACCGTGAAACTGGTCCCTAAATTATTGTTGACGCGATTATATATTTGTGTATAAATGTGCGTGTGCAGCGAGCTAGCTAGTGCGTAAAGATTTCGTGTCTCTCTACGTCTTACCAGAAACGAATCACTTGTAAACGAGCAACGAAATCGGCCGCTGCTATCTTGCTATCTCGTAACACACTTGTGATACATTTTATTCGCAATTTCATATTTCTTTTTCTATAAATACAGACCTGTTGCTTATATGATTTTTTTGAGATATTATTTATATCGTATTTTATAAATGTATATGAAAACTTACTTTATTAATTATTTTATTTACGACTTTGGCAGCCAAGGAAACATACTTTAATTTCTGAGTTTTAATGGAAACGTCATACGAATTGTACTAATATATATTGTATATTAATACGATTCTTGTTAACTACGTTTAGTTGTCCTAACATCATCGTGTATGTACAACTAGCAACTAAAAAAATGCATGAACAATAAATAGCAATTGTGTTACAGTGATGTAAGGACAGCTGACTGCAGTTAACAAGGATAGCTAACTAATTATATCAAAAACTGTGAATTTTTTTTATATTCAAATAATATTACTGGAACGATCATTAAATTTGACCAGCGAGTAAGACTTGTTATGGATATACAAACGAGATTATCAAGAGCCGGGATTTCGAATGAAACATAGACGTCTAACAATAAAACAACCATCGACAACAGCTAGTTATCATGACTATGGGTGCATTCAGTACTACGACCACTCACTGAGCGTTCAGTGAGCTCTTGTATCTGTTTGGTCTATATTTTTAGATCTAACGGAATATGCTAATCAGATCCAAGAGCTCACTGAGCCGTCAGTGAGCGGTTGTAGTACTGAATGCACCTGAATGATATGATTTGGCATGAAGCATTGTTGCTACCGTCATCATTAATTGTCATCATAAATAACCTTCCTTTCGCAATTACACCATCGTTGTCAGCACAAGAAGCGAGCTGATGAACATAGAGGAAGTATAGAAGATAAATAGAGAAGGAGGGGAGGAGGGAGGGAGGGAGAGAGGGGGGGGGAGCGGGAGAGAGAGAGAGAGAGAGAGAGAATTAGAAAACACAGAGTTACACACAGTGATGATAAGAACATATGAATCTGTCACTGCCAGAACACTTGTATGAATGAACACAGCGATAATGATACTGATAACAATATTGCCCGATGAAAGCAGGCGTGTTATTCTTTGTGTCATGTCATTCACACGAAACGCGTATGTATAAATGTAAATCGAATTTCACGGTTATCCAATAATGTAGATCGATAAATAAGGCGCGAACGTCCAAGAGAGTTATAGGGCGCGTATTCATACGTATACGACAGAATGTGAGATACCCAAAGAGCAATAGAGAAGCAGAAAGAGAGAAAGAGAGAGGGGGGGGGGGGG